CCAAGTTGTAGAATTATCTAATGTAAGCGTATGCAGACATTAGATAATAGCCACAATGCTGCCTTTCTGTCAGCTTCACTGGGCATTTATAAACAGCCAGTAGACTGTGAAAAATATGATGGAATTTGTCTTTTCATTTTATTTGCTATTTGTTTATTGATTACACTGATTTTACTGATACCCACTCTTTAATGTTTTAATCTTTGCTACTGTATTATTATTATTATTATTATTATTATTATTATTATTATTATTATTATTATTATTTGCCTGGAGAAATATTTTTATGAAGGGTGGAGTGCAGTGTGGATACAATAAAAAAATGTCCCACAAGTGACCTTGAAATATGATAAATGGATTGCACAATTAATTTATAGAAACAAAGTAGCATAACAGGGTTTTCCAATCTGTATTGAATAATAGGGTTTTTTTGGCTCTATGTTTAGGTTTCAATATTGACGCTTTTTGTAAAAACAAAAAAAACACCAAAGTTAATTCCTATGAATACAGAATCATCATCTGTGAGTTATTAGGCTGAGATATTCATGGGCATCTCTACATGAGAGCTTTGTTTGATTGGCTCTTTCTGACAATATTCTATTGTCAGATATAAATATAACTAGGATTTGTGGGAAGGCAGCTTGCATACTTCTTTGTTTTTCATTTGAGGATGGATAATATCATGGACAGGAGTGAAGGGTTGATTGTGTTGCTGTTGTTGAAATTTTGTCCTATTGGTCAACTGGAAGGACTGAGAAATGCTGACTATGAATAAATGCTACATTCTTAGCATTTTGAGATTGGCAAGAGTAAAAACCATTATGGATCAGTGCCAATTATTTTGTAGAGACTGGGGAATAGAAATCATAGTAATAGGAATAGTGCTGCTGATACATGGATTAAACTTTCTATGACCAGCTTTCCCTCAAAGTGGAACACTAGCTGCAAAATCCAAAAATGAGATGGAATTGGGATTAGCTTAATAGATGGCACAAATATGAAGGAAATCTATTTGAATACAATATGAAATATAACGTTATAAATTATTTCTCCCCAATGGCACCATTCTAAAGTGTTCACTCTCCTTTTCCCAATCCATTACAGTTTTTTGAGGGATTTTGAGGAACAGCTTTATCTACTGCTTGCAAATTTCCCCTGGATAGTTTGGATGCCTGGATGTTTGATGGTCATAATGAAAGTGGAACCATTCTCCTTGGAAACGTGACTATAGAATAGCTCAGTCCATGGAAACAGATAACTCTGAGCTTTTGCTACTTGTAGAAGATAATTATTTCACCCTATGGTACTTTGCTTTCTCTCTCTCTCTTGCTATCTAGAAAAATGAATGAAAGATTGCTATTGAAAAGAGGAATAAAGAAACTCAAGATAGTACACAAATCATATTATAGATCATATAGCAAAATATATATTTTAGATGCAATGATGAAGAATAATTGTTATATCCTCATTCCAAATTTATGATTTCTAATGAAGATTAAAGTAACACAATGCAGCTTCTAATATATACTTTTTCCTATAAAAATAATAATGGTGTGGAAATAATAACCAATGACACTGTTTTATCCTTCTGTTTGCCCTCTGCTGCCCATAAATCTTTAATACCTAATGTAATTTCTTTTGGGGAAGTAGTACATACTATAGGAAAAGGTTTAGCCATGTCTTAATCCTGTTCCATACTGGAGCTTAGTTCTGCTCCTTTTCTTCCTTGGGTATGCAGCAATATTGTTTAAGCATTAAGATTTAGTTTGTTCTCATAATCTTTGAAACCAATAGGTCTAATCAGTTTTGGGGTCTGTCCATATATGTTTTGATTTTTGTTTCATATTTGCTTAATGGGCTTGCTCCTAAAATACAGTACTAGTTAGATTTGCAGCCTTCCAAATATTATGGTTTTTCTCTAAGGATATAAAAAGTTATTTCAATGGAGATTTAGAATTCAAACAATTATTGCTCCCATGTAAATGTCTGGTTCCTTTATGTCCATGAGCAAAATTAGTTTTAATTGACCTATATTTCTCTGGTTCATCTCTTTATATGGCTCTATAATAAACATAAACCGCAATGAATGTGTGCCCGGCACGGAAGAGTTCAAGAGTTGTAGTTACCACAATATAAGAGAACTAGTACAGATTCCTTTTCATAGGCATGAATGCAGATATTCACATTTGCTGCATCATTAGTCCTAACATCCCAGATAGATTAACTATAACTTGTATCTTTCCCACATAGTAGAACTTTTTGATGTACAAATGAGCTGTAGTCAAACTCATATACAGTATAGATGCTTTGTTCATACAGTTTGATTTTCATAGCTGCAACACTTCTGTTTTAATTTATTATAGGACATTCCATAAATGAATATGTCTATTTTTGTAGAAAATACCCAACTGGTTTAAACTGTTAATGCTGAACATATATACAAATTTAATTCAGAAATTATTAATATTCTCTACAATGCTGTTTTAATACATTATTTTCTATTTCTTCCTGTACTATAAAATAAAATAATTTTAAAAAATAAACAAAAGCCTAAATCCATTAGCATTTACCAATAAACATTGGATTCAACAGGCTAGTTAACTATAATTTGGGCTGATTAATGTAACAATTAAACTAATAGTTCTACTGCAGATCAATCAAGTACATAAAATGTAAAATTGCATTTTATTCACTCATGAAAGGAATAAAAACACTGAAATATGTGAATTCTGTAGGAAAGACTATGACAGTTAGTTTTTACCTATGACAAATATCTCATTCTGAAAAAGGTTCACTGTACAGCATAGGTATAATTAAGAGTAATTGATCTGAACTCATCCAGCTTTCCCTGAATAAAGGATCAGAGAGACCAATGGAAGACAATGCATGCCCTGTGTTCTCCATGCACTGCTACTACCAATATCAACAAAAGGAAAATGACAATGGAAACTGACTCAGCCTTGAATTTCTACTAAAAATGCTGCTACAAGATGAAAGTTTGCTCTGTGCTGAGAAGTTTAACTTACTTGACAGATATTAAAGGTCATCATACTGGAAAGGTCCTCATCATCCAGTACCATCTCTTAGCCCTCCAACTTTCTCTCTTTCAGGAACATTGATTGGTCTCAGAAAATCTTCTGACAACATGATTTCATTATCCATTGAGAGTACTCCTCTCTTAGGCATTGTTGGCACCACTGACAGCTAATTCCCTGCCATTTCTGTGCCTCAGTGGGAACCAAGATACCTTTTAATCAGCAAAATATGTTGGAAAGTTTCTTAAGGCATCTATGGATTTAAACACTTGTTGGCTACCAATTTCCTTTGCATTTTCTTAATCAGGTGTCAGAAATTCTCCTGGGAAAGTTTCTATGTTGGAAAAAGTGTTGGGTTGTATGAAAATATCTATTTTGTAGCACGCTGCACTGCTAAAATGATTGCAGATTTACTTAATGGTTTTTGGAAATTTCAGTTCAGAATGATTTACACTTATTTCTTTTAATCATGTGTGGCAAATGTTGTGAAATACATCTGTATTAGCCTTAAATTCCTATGGTTCATAAATTATCTGACACTGCACAAACATCTTCATGCTGTTTATTCTTAATTCATCACTGTGGGTATTAACAAGGAAGGACGAAAGAGTGTTACTTTATCACAAAATGTTTATTACTAAAACCTCCTGTTCCAGTCTTTCTCCAAAAAAAATTACTCGATATTCATTAGGAATAAATGGTTGGTAAACAAATCACAGGTAAACTTCAAACTTGACATGACTTTTTTTACAAAATACTAGTCAGAAGAGTAAAGATAGTGTCGTTCACCAAGCTCATGTGATGTTGATTCAGGTGCTTGGCAACCATAATGCATTTATGATGGTCATAGCATCCTGAGCTTATGTGATTGGCATTTGCAATAAGCAAAATCAATGGGGAAGCTGGAAGGATATAAACAAGGCCAATGAGGACACTAGCTGGCCAAGGATAATGGCAGCTGAAATCCAACTCATTTGGATAACATCTGACTGGGGATAAGATAAATTACATAACTCATAGAGAGAACTATATCAACAGTTATTATCTAATTATCTGGTGGGAAACTCCATTTTAAATCCTTGGCTCACTGGAGCTGGAATAAACAAAGTTTACATATTCTTATTGCCAAACAAACAAATTGTCCTATGTATTCATTCAGTTTACAAAAAGAGAATTTGCTTTAGATTGTATTTCAAAGAAGCAGAAAATTTTGGAAAAAAATTCACTGGTGGAAGGTAGAGTTCTTTATGTGGCCAAGCTGTGTATGTGTAATATTGGAAATTAAATACTGAGGAATAATGTCCTGAAGGAGCTTCTCTCAGGGGTCCTTTTCAGTTATAATGCTGTTATCATTTCTAGTGGGAAATTCTGCAATCAAGACAATTTGCTAGAGGAATTATTTTACCCTTGGGGGAAAATAGTCAGATAAATTGCCTGCTGAATTCCTCTATCCACTCAATTCCTCTGTCCACTGCCTGGGCGAAAACTTTAACAGGCCTTTTATTCCTGTTATTCCAGAAGCATGGTCAATGGGTGTATTTAAATGCACCCCAACCTGGCCAACAGATGTGAAGATCACATTATTTTACCTCTGGAGAACATGAAGTTGATCTTTGGATTGTTTTCATTTATTTAAGATGGAAAATGTGGTACTGTAGAGAGAAGACTCTGGAACTGGATGATCCTCATTACTCTTTTTGTAGCATTAAGTTGTCACTGCTGTGGTTGAGCCTTTTAGATTCTCTGGGGAGCAGACTTGGCTTCATGAGACCCTCCCGCGTTGCCGGACAGGAGGACCAATGCAAGACACACACACACACACACACACACACACACACACACACAGAGAGAGAGAGAGAGAGAGAGAGAGAGAGAGAGAGAGAGAGAGAGAGAGAGAGAGAATGGGGGGGAGAAGGGAGGGAGCGCTCCAAGGGCGGAGCTCGGAGGCAAAGAAGCGGATAAATAGAGAGTCCTCAGCTAAGAACGAGGAGAACTTCTCCGGGCAGAGAGCCGGTCAGCACCGCGGACAGAGGCACCCAGCAACCGCACCATTGACCTTCCTGCTTCGCTTGCGCCCGCCGGCTGCCCAAGACTCGCGCCATGACCGCGGAGGCTTACCTGCAAGAAGCGACGGTCTCGGCAAGCCAGTTTTTCGCGATCTGGCGCCATTACGACGCTGATGGTGATTGATTACATTGCCCCCTTCTTCTAACCCTGTCAGGCTCGGAACCCAAGGGGGAGGGGTGTGTGTGCAAACGCTCAACTGCAAAACTAGGCGAGGGACTCGGCGTCCTCCTACTTGCTCTACTGTAAGCAGGAAACTTTGTCAGGCGCAAGTTACAACTTTTACTTCTTTACGTCTAAAACGACGGGAACATTTTGAGAAAATTGACAATTTTCGGAAGGACGAGCGCGGACCAGCCTCCGAGCGGTCGGTCGCTCTGATGGCGTTGGGACTTCTAGCTATTTGCCCTTCGTTCGGCAGCTGAAAGCCTCTAAAAGTCCAAAGCGCCTCCTATAAAACACAGTCATATAATATAGAAGGAAATAGGGCATTTTTTCTCGGGGAGGCTGAAACCCAAACTGCAACCCTATAAGTATTTTCCGAAATCTGGTTGCACTCAGTGGGACTTTGATCTAAACATAGGATTGCTCTGTTAATTTGCAAGTATTGTTATATACCGGCAGGAAGGAAAGAGAGAAACCATTAGAACTGTAACCATTGTGCTCTCTCTCTTGGTGTTACAGGCAATGGATACATGGATGGAAAAGAACTGCAGGGTTTTATCCAAGAACTGCAGCAGGCACGACAGAAAGCTGGCTTGGTAGGTTAAGATGGGGCTTTTTTCTTCTTTTGTAAATATAATACGAGTAGGAAAATCCCCAGAGTAGATGGGAGTCATGTGGCATATAAATTTAATAAAAATAATACTTAACTCCAATAACCAAGCTCCAGTAAAGGATGATTATGACCATGTACATGTCTGGCCATGCACATATTAGTTTAAATGCAAATTGATAAAACTGGAGAAATGGAAAAGTTGTGGCTGGAAAATATGGAATCCAGATAAAAAGCAAAATTTTATAATAGTAATAATAATAATAATAATAATAATAATAATAATAATAATAATAAAGTTGGAAGGGACCTTGGAGGTCATCTAGTCCAACCCCCTGCTTAGGCAGGAAACCCTATACCATTTCGGACAAATGGCTGTCCAGTCTCTTCTTAAAAACCTCCAGTGTTGGAGCATTCACCGCTTCTGATTTTGTGAATCAACACTCTACTAGAGCATTCCAACTCTGGGTTGATAGTAAACAGCTTACTGCATTTGTAAAGACAGACGGGCAGAACTTTATTCCAATCATTGCCAATAAAAATACAATCAATAAAATGAATAACACAATGCTATCCCCTAACAACAAAAACTATTATAAACCATTTGTTGTTACTGTACTTACACATTTTACTACTTTTAGAGAAATAAGTTTATTCTTCTTTAACAGAGAGTGCAGATAAAAGCTATCAGAGTGTGTTGCAATTTGAATAAAACAGGTGTGATCAACCTCTTGCGAATGTCCCTGTAAAACTGGCAATACAGAAGAATATGAGCTGTGGTTTCTATAGCACCCATATCACAGGGACAGTATTGGGTTTCATGGGGTTTTCCTACGTTTCTCTTCCAGGATAGTTGTGGGGAGAACATTAAATGGAGCTAAGGATAAAACTCTCCTAAATTGGGGAACTGTGATATGACATAAATATGAAGCAGGTTTAGAGTAATATTTGGATTTCTAGTTATGTTGTGAGAAAAAGCAGCAATTTCTGTTTGACTTTCTATATCTAAGATCCTTCATCTTATTATTGATCTGGCTTGATTTAACTTCAGGATGGCATCACTGGAGAAACCATAGAGACTTGGTTTCTTTTAGACTGTTGTTTCCCGAAAAAAATTGTAACTGTCAATATTAAATGGGTCAGGCTAGAATTGTGAAGTAGTTTCAACTGGTAGGTAAAGATATTTATCCAGAGATTAGTTTTGAATTTATTGATTCCTGCTTCCTATCGAAGTACTGCATTTGGAACACAGCAGGTACCCTGATAATACTTCTTAGAAATTTTGTTTGAATCTTTCTTAAGGTGATCATACTTTTCTATGGTCTTAATTGAGCCCCATATAGCAATTGTGCTTGAGCTTTACCTGCAAAAACCTTAATTGCAGCAGAAATAAACTGTGCTCCTCTGGAAAAATAATAAGTTTGTGTAGTTGATGCAGAACTCTGTGCATTGTGGGAAACACAATCCATATGATCATTTCTGCTTCCTGAGGTTTGAAAAGCTATTCCTAGATATCTAAAAATCTTAACCTGCTCAATGGACTGCCCACCTAAATTCTAGCTTCTCTATTTTGGGCATTTAGAGAAAGTAAGGATCTTGGTCTTAACATAATTTATTATTAATTCCTCCTCATTACAGTGATGCATCAGTGATCTCAGAGCTCTTTTAAGGCCAATGGAGGTTAATAACAGGATTACCGCATCACTGGCATACAGGCATACTGGTAAACTGATAGGTCTTTGGGCTAATTTGGGGGGGATGGAAGGTAGGCCTACTTAGGTGAAGAATTAATGAGTTTACATAATAGTTGAATAAAACTGGAACCAATACACAATCCGGTCTATCTCCATTCCTTACAGGTATTTTTTTTGTGACATGTCCTTGATTACTGCAATTAACTGTCAGTCTTATATTCTCATGAATTTTGATGAGCAGCAGGAGTAGACATTTGTCATTTGTAGCATTTTTTAATTTATGCCACAATTTAATTCTAAATATTGTGCCCAAAACTGACCTGAAATCAATAAATGCTGCATAAAAGGATTGTCCTGAGTTGTACTAAGTGTTGCAGCACCAAGGCCCAATCTAATGTTGATTGTCCTGTTCTAAACTCAGCCTGTTCATCCCCCAGGATATACTTAGATTCAAGCCGGTCAATTAGTTTTGCTTCCTGTAGATATTTGGCATACATTTTGCTAATCTGTCTTAGCAAACTGGTTGGGTGGTAGTTAGCTGGATCATCCCTTTTGCCCTTCTTGGTATTATAATATCAAGCCCCAATCCTTTGGTATCATGGCTGAATGATCTACTGCTATGAAAAGTGAAGCTAGCACTGGGATCCACCATTCCAAATTATTTTTTTATTATCATACATAATAAAATTTGAACTTGGGGATTTACTGTACTTAATTTAAACTGTTTAATTATACTTCTGATCTCTGAACATGTGACAGAGAGGTCTCACCAAGTCTGTCAGGGAATTCTCCCTTTACCCATGTAGGGCAACAAAATGGTATGCAGTGAACAGCTATTAGAGTTATTGGGAAAGGATGGAGTTACCATTCCCCAAAAGATGGCAGGAATTTTCGCACTGGCAACCACAATCAAGAGTTACCAAATATCTACATTGCATTACCCCCCCCCCCTTTTTATATAAATTAACTGTACTGGGTTGGGTTTTTTTTTTTCCAATTTCACTAGGTCAGAAATTGAACAAAATTTCAATTTTGTTTGTGTCAAAAAATTCTCTTTGTATAATTTTATGTGACAATTTAGAGAATTCCAAGCTTCACATGACATGTTCTTGGATCATGCCTAACTGTAATATGTTGGGGGACAGTTAACAATGATTGAAATAATTTTTTAAGTTATTGAAATTAGCCAGAACAATTGCCATCCACTGTGGCTTAGTAAAGAGATTTGGTTGACTCCCCTCAAACAAAATTAGTAATTATTGCTGCATGCTGAGGTGTCCATATAGCATGAATAGGGCAAAGGTTATAGTAAAAAAGGGTACAAACAACCTATCAAAAAAATTCAGGTGAAAAATAACAAACTTAGAGAGGGAATTAAGTTTTGGGAGATCCCAGCATAGTCTAACTGGACTAGTGGTAAACTTAACTGGGTAATTATCATTTACTGGACCCATTTAATACTACCAGATGATTTTGTAAAAGTTTGAAACATGACAAAATCCTCTACAGTCATTGTATACATTCTTAGATTGGTAGAATAAAATAGATGTTATTATAGGAGACAATGGCTGGCAAGGGAGTTTAGCAAAGAGTGATTTATCATTTGCTCCAGTTCTTGTGTTAAAGTCACCACTAGTATTAAGTATGCTACTGGGAACACAACCATTAAATCTCCCACATAGGTATCTATTTTATCCCTTATTTGTTTCATCTGTAATCATATTTGCAGGGGTGGAATATACGCATTAAACACGAGGAGTTGCCTCTTCCTGAATTGCAGGAGAGTTGCCAACGCATACCGGTTTGATAGTTGTAAACTAGTTATTTATGCAGAATGCCTAAGCCCCCACAAAACCTTCCATGTTATATGCTAGGCACGGTTTCCAACGTAATTGTCTTAAGCCCTTTGACTAGCAGTTTAGCCGCATACAATGCTTCCTGGAAAAAAAATTATGTCATAACTAGAGATATATGCCAGAAAAGATAGGTCTCTACGCCTGGATTTCCATCCTGTGGTGTTCCAGGAAATAAAAAACAGAGAAGTAAATATTGGTTGCATGTCATTCAGTTGAGCTGGGCAGTTATTGCTGTAGGCATTTCCTGAGAAACACTGAGAAGGAGGTTGTAAATCCCACAACTCCTGCACTGTCAACTGCAGCATTGGAACAGTATACAGTATATCAGATATCCAGGTGCCCTTTAATGAGGCTGAGATGGAATCCTGTAAATGTTGATCTGAAAACTCAGTTATCTGTGGGGCTAAGTTTGCAGCTCCTAGGGGTATGTTGGATTCTTCAATGACATAAGCTAGTTATTTGTCTGATTTGCCTATCTATGAACTTGGAGACAAGTTCATATTAATATCACTTTTGAACCTTCTGCAGGGGGCATGGAAACCAAATCAATGGGGCAGTTGTCTTGTCCACTGTGGATTAAGTTTGTGTAAGGTACTCTAACTTCTTTAGTAAGCCCTCCTGTTTGTAACCAGGCAAGGTTCCAAAGGTTTCAATTATTTCTGCTGCCAGTAGTTTAGCTGAAATTTGCCTTTCTCTCTCTGCCTGAAATTGCTTATCTAAATGAGCTTGTCCCAAGAAGAGGGTTGGTTTATTATCTTTGCAACTGGGGCAGCAGCATCCATTCCTGATTTCTCAAAATTAAAGGATGGTAGTATCTTGATGTAATGGCTCAATGAATGGGGAGATCTGTGTCTCAAAAATACAGTGGAAATATGAGGAAAGTAGTCAGCATGGATTTAATTTTGAAAAGCATGCTTGGGATAATAGACTGCTTGAAGGTCAGCAAAATTTGCATACAGTCCATCTTGCTAGGCTGTCGTTTCACCGAGTGTAAGTCAGTTGCACAGTAATGACATAGAAACAGCTTAGGGAGTAATGTATTGCTTTCTTGAACCTCACCATCTACTGCTGAGTCTATTAAAGCTGATTTGTAAGTAGATTAGTTTGCAACACATGCTTGTTTTGATCTTGATTTTCAGCCCTTCTGTGCCTCAAGGTTTGGAAGGCAGATTTATTTTGGAGTTTGTTCCCTTTTCTCTATCAATTCGTGGTATAAAACTTGTGTTTCAGTTAGAGTAGCTTGAGCATTTTTGGATCACAGTTTCCTGCTTCAACAAGGTGAGTCAATTTATTGTGGAAAGATTGGGTAAATGCATCAAGGGACTCTTTCAGCAAGTCCACATTCAATTTTGCTTCTGTTAAATAGTCAAAAATTAGTAATTCAGTCTATGCAATTAGTGTGCTTTGCTTAGATGCGAATTCTGTAGTCTCATTTTTAGAAATCTCTTCCTGAAAGTTTTTTTTTATAGGAGATGCTGCAGTTGAGTATGCAGCTGCCTCAGGAGAAGAGACTGTTATATCTAAAATACCTAGGGAATTTGGTTCTTCAGTGTTATAAGTGGGATGGTCCTCTGCACTATTATCTTTTTAAGTCCCAATTCATATTTGTTTGAAGCATGTCCAGGAGTTGGTTTAATGATAATACTGTTGTAGGTGCCGTCATCACTTAATTTTAGTTTTCAGACACCTTCTTTTTAAATTCCATTATGTCATCTGTTTTGTTGCTTAGATGATTTGAGCAATATCTGTATGACAGAATTCATTCTTTGTCATTTCTTCCTCTTTCCCATGCAGTAATCTTCCTGTGGTGGTAATGCATACATAATTATTCTCAGCAAGTTGTTTGGAGATTAGTCAAATACGGTTATGCACCAGAATCAGTAATTAAAAAAGTGGATTAGTCTGATAATATAAGATAAAAATAGAAAATTACCATGCACTCTGATCACTAGATGCTTTCACTTCGCCATTTTAGTTCCTCCTCTAAAGAAATGTTTACTTGCATTGTGCTTTTTAGTATTGATAAAGGAATTTCTTTTAGAGTAAAGATATAACCGTACTACAGTATACAGACTGAAATATGTTTCTGCCCCTTGGTGGCTGAGAAACAGAGCTGCACACACAGTATACACAGACACATAGATTCCAAAATGCACACTCTTACACAGTTGCATATCTACTGGGTGGGGAAGAACTGGAATCATTAGGAATTCATGTGTCTAACATAGATGTTTGAAATTGCTTTCTTGAAAGAAAAATAAAGTAGAAATAAATTGATGTGTTACTTGATATTTTTAAAAGTTGTTGAAGCTGTTGGCACTCATAGCATGTAATACATATTTTTCTGAATATTGCTGAAAACTATTTTTTATTGGTTTCTGGGCAGGGTTTATCTGCAACAGCTCTCCTTTACTGACATCCTAGAGATGAGTTAGGACTACAGCTTGTAGGATGAATATCTTAGCTGGGAGTTGTTTATTCACTGTCATAATCTAGTTAGATGGTGTTAGTTTAAAGAAGGTGGCTTGTTGAGAATTTGCTTTCTGTTGAAGTTTATATCTAATTAATAAGTGCCCAGTAAAATGATCACAGTATGAACATAGCTTCGTACTAACATTTAATCATTAGCTAGTTCCACAGCTACATTTAGTTGCAGAGTCAGTTTCATTCATGCCACAGTTAATTGCCTTAAGTTTTGGATGCCTTTGTCCATTTCAGATTTACTTTAATTATAGGGAGAATGGAAAAATCTCCCTTCACCTCTCCTTTTTGTTTGATTTTCCAATACAAGGTATACAAACAAAGCCAAGACACTGATAACTTCAAGTGCTCACCATTGCATTGATTAATAACTATAAGTGATTATACTATTTTATACCTTCCAATAGTTTCTCTTCAGGATCTATGAGAATCCTCTGTCATTATTATGCATTGCACATTAAAACCATGAAGCTTTAGTTGTAATGAATATGGATTGTTGATTGAAAAGTTAATAATTGTATTATTTTTATTTATTTTGCTGTCTTGTGTATTTCTGCATAGGACTACAAACAGTTTACAAATAAGATGCACAATAAAAACACTGACATTATGGGGTAACATACACTAAACAGCATAAAATAATAATAACAGATTTAATAATTGTTGATAAGAAGTCTGGATACAGGACATTGAAGAACCTGAAGACAGCAGAATAGAAGAGAATAGAAAATCACAAAATAAAAGATGTGCAACTAGGAGTAAAATGACTATGGCAAAAGAAAGCAAAGATTGTACCAACAGTAATAAGTGCCTTGGATATGACACCAAAAGAACTGGAGCACCACTTGACACCATGGGAAACAAACAAAATCCCCATCAATCAATTGCAAAATGTAGCTTTACTTGAAACAGCTAACATCCTGTGACAATATCATTAAACACCATTTGCCTATCCCAGGTCCTTAGATGAACAAATCCAGACTAAATATCTGACTGGGAGATCAACTATAATATTATTATTATTATTATTATTATTATTATTATTATTATTATTATTATTATTATTATTATTATTAATAATGATGATGATGATGATGATGATGATGATGATAATGATAATGATGTTTTATTTGAGTGAAAAAGATAATAAAATCCAAACAGTGGAGAAAATATTATCAAGGCAATTAACACCAGTGCAGTTCCAATCATTAGATACTCATCTGGAATAGTGGGCTGGACTCAAGCAAAACTAACAACTTCTGGATATGAAGTCCAGAAAGATAATGACAATGAATCATGTCTATCATCTAAGCACCAATGTTGACATACTCTACTTACCAAAGAGCATAGGAGGGCATGAATGTTGCAAGTACCCCAGACAGTTAAAGAAGCCTATCTGAAGGACAGTGAATAAGATGCACTGAAGTTGGTATACCATGAAGGCTTACTGAATAACAGAGAAACCAAAACCAAATGAAGAATAGAAGAGAAACATGGCAAGGCAAATTATTTCATGGCCTGAACATTAAAAAAACAACAACCCTATCTGGCAATGCAAATAATAAGACATGACAATGGCTATGTAGTAGCAGTAGAACAATTATTCAAAAGAAAGCAAAGATAGTACCAATAGTAATAGGCATCTTAGATGCATTTCCAAAACATCTGGAGCACTGCTTGAATATTATCGGCATTGACAAATTACCATCAGTCAATTTATTTGGAACAGATTTCATTGTTGTGATAGTGATATTTTTAAACCATTGTGCAATAACATCTGGCTATCTGTATTCATATATTCTCAGTATTCAGCACTGTGTAACTCACAGGTGTCAAACTTGCGATGTCACGTGACATGTCATGACTTTTTCCCCATTGCCGGCAATGGGGTGGGCGCAGTTTTGGCATGACACATCCAGCCCGTGGGCCGGCAGTTTGACACCCCCTGGTGTAACTGAATTCTCTTTGTCTAAGAATTGTCAGCATTCACATACAACATATGGAGCTCATTGGTAATAACATATACTATAACTACATGTCAGATCCAAACATAGTTATGCCTAGAGCAAACCCACTAAAATCATAGGGAACACTAACTAGCTTAATGTAGCATAGCTTAATACAGATTCACCCCAAGGCAGAAAATGAGCTTTTACAGTGTACCAGCCAAACTTGAGTGCAAATTAAACCTTCCCACTGACCCCGTTCTGAGCAGAAAGAAATAAATGTTTTCCCAGGAAACGGGACAATCATTTCTCATTAT